TGTTCTATTCAGTATATAGTGAATCGGAGAACCATGCACCTATTTATATTCGATGATTTTGATGTTTGAATATATTCCTGTGAAAAAGCTTGAACTAGATTGTTAGGCGAAAAGTTGGATTTACTTTAAATTCATTCGCTGAGATTTTACAAAAGTATTCTTCCTTTTTAATGTAACACAATAATCCTTGTAGAAAATAATGCTACAGCATATTAAGTCAAAAGATTCAACATTTCAGAACATTATTATTCCAAACTACTGACGAAGATCCGTTATGTCATCTCAATTAACTTTACAAAATATGTTATGACATCCTTTTTGTTCAGGTGATTCAAGTCGAAAATGATCCGTTTTTAAACTGAGTAATTTAAAGTTAATAAACCAGTTTGAAGACAATATTTACCAGCCACTAATATTATCGTTAAAGCATTTTGAAAACTAAAGAGTATTATCCAACTATTCTGTTATTGTTTAACGGAGTACTCAACAATATTAATCTTCTGTCACTTAAAATATAAAATCTGGGACTTATTGTCAATTTTTGAAGTTTATTTAAATGTTATTACTACAATTAAACACTCAAACTAATCTCTTAAAACAATTTTGTCAACAATCATTAATATCAACTTCATTTTCTCAATATTAAAAGATAAATTGAATTACCCATTTCCATTATTTGTTTAATATTCGGTCGAAAACTTAACCAAACATATACAAACAATAAACATATTAGCATCATTCTCAAATTTTCGCTCTATATACATGTATTGAAAATTTTTCCCTCAAAACCATGATCATTACAGTAATACAGTAATAACCATATGGAGTGAGATTTTCTTTCAACTAAGATAAATAACATACATACAAGTAGAAACATCATACTCATCAAATTATGTTAGCTCATGATTCCATATTTATTTAAATATAATTTACTGATAAATAAATGTCCAGAAGTGCTATTTTTGTTGTGTGATAAAGAATTAAATAGTCAGATTACCATCTGGTTTATAATTTGACTTAAGTTTCTTTCTTGTGATTTTTTTTTGTCACCTCATTACAAATGGGCAAATGAGTAAACATTATAAATACTTGTGTTTACAGACTTACATTCATATTTATCATTTATCTGTTCAATTTTCATGAGTTAAATCACATTTTTATCATAGTGAAATTATACTAACTGGTTTATGAATCGTTTGCTTGTCAATCTAATCATAATGGAAATATTACTGCATCAACATTTCTTTTTTGAGTTCGTGTTTGAGTATTTAATAAATATGCATGAAACTTTTAAATATTTTCACTCCCTCTACTATTAGTAAACCACAATCGGACGTTTATCATTTTGTTCCATTTTCTAACTGTGTTTTATCAAACATTTCTTGTTATGATTGTTACCGCTATTGTTTTGTTCATATTTTTGTATAAATATATTGTATTTCTACAATTCATTCAAAATGAACACGCGACCTTTCTATTTATAGAAAACTTGTCTTTCAGTTTTTCTACACACACACGCATACACTACTGGTTATACCTACCAGTAAAATGACAATGATTGATGTCCGACTTGACAAGAAGAAATAAACAAAAGTTTCGTTATGTTGTTTTTCTCATTTATTTATTCTTGATCTTTTTAAATCAAGATTTATATCGATATTCCTCAGACTTTTTTCAACCTAATACTCAGTATATAATTTTAGAAGGGAACAATTGAACGTAGATGATAATGTAGAGTAATGTTAACTAAACATAATAGAGGAAGCATACACATCTATGTACACAAGCTTATAGTTGAGTGTATTACATACCTTTTCATTAAAAAAAAACGGTATGCGTAATCTGATAAAATCAAGATGGAATCTGGCAATTTTCAGTTTTACGATTTAGGGGAACATAATAATGGAGATTATGATTATGAAATAACAAGTGTTCAAGAATACTACTTACTGATTATTACTTTTGTTGGTGTTTGTAACAATGATTAACATATAATTTACACTGTATTCATATAACATAAATCATTATAAATATGGTCATATTACTTGAAAGTTTAAGTGAATGTAGAGAAAAATACAGAATATTAACCTTCTTATGATCATTCCGTTTTTTTCCGAATTTTTCATTGAAACTATATCTAATTACAATAGGGCATACACTTTAAGACGACTTTCATCGTCTGCTTAAATTAATTATATATATATGAATTAGCTGAAAGTACTGGAAAGTTATTGTATTCTAGTTCAAGATCATTACAGAATTACTGCAATTAGTTAATGATGCAACTCAATTCATTTTGCATAACACAGTAATCAAATAATCATTTACGTGATTGGCCTAGTTTAATTATGAAGTTTAATCAATACTGAAATAAATGTATCGTGTTTTTATAACTTTAGTTAAAAATTTAATTAAAAACTGTTCTTTTAATTGGACTAAGTACGAGGATCCACGAATAACAATTGATGTCTGTGGTAAAAAATATATTTCATTTAGTGGTTCTTAGAGCAGTAATAATTTTATGCTTACTTATTACTTTACTTACGTCTGTTACCCCTCATGAAGGAGCATAGGCCAACCAGTAGCATTCTACATACAACTCTGTCCTGGACAATCCTTTCCAGTTGTTTCCAGTTGCTATTCAACATTTTTATGTCTGCTTCCAATTCTCGACTCAGTGTGTTCTTTGGTCTTTCTATTTTTGTTTCCCTTCAGGATTACAAGTTAGTATTTGCCTCATGATACAGTTTGATGATTTCCGAAATGTATGACCTATCCACTTCCATCATCTTTTTCAAATTTCCTCTTCAGTTTGAAGCTGGTCTGTTCTCTCTGTTTTCCCTTGTAGATTCCAATAATTTAATAACTAGTATTTAAATAGTCATTCAGTTATATTTTAGAAATGATCCAGTCATTATCACATCTATCCTGTCAATCAAAGTATTTAATATTCAAATAATCAGTTTCACTGATAATAACTTATTGATTGTCTTATATTAATGTTTAAAATTGGTGGAATTGAATGATCATTTACATATTTTTAGAGCTCAACTATAATATAATTTAAACATTGTAGTTTAAAAAAGAATTCACTCTACTCGTGAATGATTGAGTAATGATATATTCTAAACTATCAAATGATGGGAATGTATTGACTTCACTTAAGTTGTGATAAATTAGCTAGATGTCTGAACATTATTGTAAAACCATATGATTGGTGACAATTATAAACAGAATGATAAGTTCTATGGCTAGGTTTGATCTTTGTTAGTATTCCTAGTGTCTAAGTACTTTTAGATAGGAATATATAAAAAATTCATTTTCGGCTTTGTCTCTCCAGTAAAGTGTAGCAAATTATCTTAATTATGTGAATACTGTATTTTGAAAATGTGAACACATTTTCATCATAAACATTAACATATTATTATATGTTAGTTTTTAATTGGTAGAAAAGATTTTAATTTAGTGGTTTAACTCCAATAAACACTTTTTACATTGTATCCAAAACTTTTTTGAGAGCGTTTAGTGTTTCTAAGTTATAAACTATCATCAAAACTGCCTTATTGTTTTTTTTCCATACCGATAACTAGATCTTAACAAGTTCTGGTAACTCCATTAATTAAACATTAATATTAATTATTCTAAAAGGACTGATTTCAGAGAAAACGGTTTCTAAAAAACGAACATAGTTTCATCATCATCATTATCAAATTTCTCTTCAGTTAGTTTTTCATCATGGCTCTACACTAATATTATATAGTTTATAATAATGAAATAATAATGCTACGTTGCGTAATATATAAAAAAGAAGAAGGAACTAACACAATATTTTGATGAACGGTTTGTAGTAGAGTAGTTATGTTGGAATCAAAAAACGAATGTTGAGAATAAGTAAAATACAAAAGCTGAAAGAAATATGGAAATAAATTATCAAAGTTCTGCTACAAACTCCCCCATAACGTTGACTAAGGTAGCAAGAGTGGTTGTACAAAGTTCTTTTCGATGCAAAGGTTTGGTTTGTGAACATGGATTCCAATGGCTTCAACAATATGCGAAATACGAGTTCGTAAACCATGTGACAAATTCGATGGAATATGGTGGATAATCTTAAAAGCTTTATTCAGTTCAACTTGGTGATCTGTGACCACTAATTGAGCGAGAACAGAACTCTTAACCACTCTTTCCTGTCCTTTGCTCAACCAGGATGGTTGGTGTTCTGTTATGCGATAACAGACTTGCCGAATTGTATGCCCTATATAACTGGCTCCACAGGAGCAGTTGAATTGGTAAATGCATATGAATGTGGCGAATTCAAGCAATCTTTCTTTATTAACCGTTCTTATTATAGGGCGGTTGTAGAAGACGACACTCAGTCTGGCTGATTAAATGTTTTCTGTGCCGCCTTTATTAACTTTCAAGTCACACTTTCTACGGTAGTATCATTTAGGGATTGTAATTTTAAGAACAGAACTTGCTTCGGAACAGTACTTACCCTTATCGTTCTTTTCATGTGTTTTTCGATGAATTTCGTTGGGTATTCATCCCTACTAAGCAAGTTACGAATATTCACTAATTCATCTACAATAATGTCATCCGAATAAATCATTCTAACACGATGAGTCAGGATCTTTATCAATTTTCTTTTGTATCTGATTGGTACAGTATTATAGAAATTTGTGTATTGTCCAACTGTACACTTTCTATGTATCCCTCTTTTTAATGTTCCATCTGCTCTTCCAGTTAGTTGGACATTCAGAAAAGATATGCTACTATTTTGTTCTTCCTCTAGTGTAAAAGTTATCGATGGGTCATCATTGTAAATCATATATAAATATATATATTAGTGTAGAGCCATGATGAAAAAACTAGTTGAAAATAATTTATGTTCTATGTTTCTAGCTTTGATTCTCTAAACTGTAATAAATCTTGTTCTTACATATGAAAAGACATTTTATGGGTTTCTTTAAAATACTTTTTGTTTTATTTTATTGACTTCATAGGATCACAAAAAGATGTTATGGAAGAATTAGACTCGGAAACTAGAAATGATTTAAAAAGGCAGAAAAAGCGTGGAATATTTCCAAAAGTTGCTACAAATATCATGAGAGCATGGCTTTTTCAACATTTAACAGTAAGTTGTAAATACCTATGAACAAATGATATTGTAAAGTACATTGTTTTAAAGTTTTTTTTCTAGTACTTTTGGATAAATACAATCTAACGTTTTCTATTTGAAAATAGTTTGAGGGTTTTTTGTCAGCTAAGTTGATATAATTTCATAATGAATTATAAAAATGTAATAAGGTTTATGTATGACTTAATATCCAGTTTCACAAAGATTACAAACAAAATGAATGATTGAACACACAACTTATCACCTATAAAATTTGATGAGCCCAAAGCGTGAATTTTAAAGAAGTGAATTCTGTACTGTTTATCATATTTGACGCGACTTTAACTATCGTAGACTAACTAGGGGGTTCTACGTAAAATTGATGATCGTTTTTCTTTTACCTGAGTACTATAGACAACTTAAGATTAGGAAATAATTACACCACTACGTTTAAAACTTTTTAAACAGGTAATTCTGACACAAGGAGCTGTTGTTAAGATTTTAGATAAAGGAGGGTCCCTGAGTTCTAAGAAAGATAAATATAGCTAATATACTAAATAAATAATTAAGAAATTTCAATAGTTCAGATCATGAGTCAATTGAAGCTAGACCACCATGGAAAAACTGGAAGCATTGGACGAAAGTTTTTTCTATTGTGAGTCTCCTCAGCAATGCGCATCCACGATCCCGCCTCGCGATATTCGAACCCAGGATATATAAGTCCTACAATAGGAGGAAACGACTGTCCACTGTTTCCAGATTTTCCATGCTAGTCTAGCTTTAATTGACTCATGATTTCAAATATTGAAATTACTATAATATCTACAAAAACCCCTTCTGATATTAATTAAGAAATCCTTCAATTGGTTATTGTCATAGTCAATTCTCTGAATAGATTGTATACCAATAATATAGTCAATGAATTGATTCAGACACATGAAATGTATCTTTAGTATTTCGATCATTCTGATGGTATCTAATTACTCATTCATCTACAACTAAACTGTTTATTTATGACACTATTTTGCTTGAATACAATAAATTAAAAAGACAAAAAAACTTTCAATATATATTTTGTCAGTGTTTATGCATCATCGAATTAACTTGATTCAGATGATGAGTTTTCTTTTTCTTATTTACAAAATTATAGGGAATAGTTATATTTTATGCTTAGGAAAATAATAAGAATTTCTTTCTAAACATTTGATTATTTGTGGTTGAATAACTTTAAGTTCAGGTGTTAATCACTGGTTACTTCAAAAAGAAAAAGAAATACGTCGACTTGAAGTCATGTTCTGTCAATTTAATGAATAAAGTTTCTTATCAATAGAAATCGATGTATATAATTAAAGGAAGATGTGCATAGTTAAAAAGTATACACTTAAAAATCATTTCATCTAAATGTTGATCATCTGGAAAGTATGTTAGAGAATGGAAAACTAGTGTTTATCTATCTTAGTATTCACATCAGAAGGGTTAGAAGGAGTTCCACAAAAGGACAAAACGACCGTCTAGTGCTTCCAGGTTTTCTATGGTGGTCTAGCTTTAATTGACTCATGATCCCAACCATTGAAATTAGTATTGTTTAATTCAGTTCATTAACTTGATCTATATTATTTAAAATGACATCATAAACTAATATCTTAATATAATCATTCGACGAATTGAAAATAACATACAGTATGAATTCTGTACATGATGATAGTATATACCATTAAGTCATTAATTACTTTTATTGTTGTATATATAATGAAGGTAGATATTTCAGTAATATACTATACATGTAATATCTATTTTTGTAAAGCATCCATATCCATCAGAAGAACAGAAGAAACAATTAGCTCAAGATACAGGATTAACTATTTTACAAGTAAATAATTGGTAAGTTAAATTAGAATTGTTTCACTCATGTTTATTTTAAATTTGCTTGGTTAAAAACTTAATTGAATATGTTATTTAACTACACAATAACATGGATTAGACTAATTGCATATGTTGTTAACATTTCATAATATACTGTAGTGACCAAGAACTCCGGTGGGAAGAAACCAACTTATTATTTAATACAAAATTACATAGTGCCTTTGTAAAATATGAAAACCATTCATTAAATACATTATTTGCACATCTTGTATCAGTTGTCCTTTACATGCTTTATGATCCCTCCAATTCTATTGTTTTTATAACCGCTTTCTGTTTTCTTTGACGTCTTCTTCAAGTCAATCTTCTGTTGGCAGGCATACCACTTCCGACTCGAGCCATATACTACTTATATCTATCAGGATAAGTAGTATACAACACAATACTTAAGGCTAAATATTCGAATTATTAAAAAATCCAATAAAACAGAAGAGATAGACTCAGCAAACGAGTTTTTATTACGACACATTATGGATAAAGTCTTGAAATTCCTTTAACTCAGCAGCTTACTAATCTTAATCTGTAAGTTAACAAACTAACAAGTTGATCCTCTTAAAGAATTGGTATGCACCAAGTTTATTTATTAGGCATTAAAAAAGTAAATGTATCGTGTATTTTCCTTCTTAACGTCCCCGGCAGTTTGTTCAGTAATATGTTGTTACTTTAAGGGAATTTTTGACATTCGACGATTTTAGCCCAGAAATAATGGCAAACAATCTTAATCAAAACTAATTACTGTATAATATTTTAAACCTACTTATCAGTACATATTCAACACTTCATGCACAAACCTAATTTATAATAGTAAATATCAAGATATTGAACAATAATCGTTTTTTTACCCAAGCGATTTGAAAGTTTAATATATGATCATATATGAAATCTGTGTAAATGCTGATGATGTAAAATATTTTAATTCTGTATATAACCTTTTGATGAGTAAAATTAGAAACGATCTGTTGTCTTTTGTTTTTTATGATATAAGTATTATCTCACCTAAAATGATTCGAATTGTACGTTTTATAATTCAATGCAGCGTAAACTTTAGTATACGGTATTTCAAAACAAATATTTAAATGTATTTCAGAATGAGTTTAAAGAATATCCATCAACGAAACATTGATTATTTTAATAAGTTTAAAGACCACTTTCATTTTAGTATACATATAAGAATATGAATGCAAAGATAACAAATATGGACTTAATCAACAACATTGTTTAAATAATTATTCATTCTTATTTGATCTTTTTATTATGTTCTTCATTTAGGTTTATTAATGCACGTCGAAGAATTGTACAACCTATGATTGACCAGTCTAATAGAGCAGGTGAGAAATATATCAACGTGGAGAATAATTTTGATTATCTTACATATAACCATTAATAAACATGTTTATTTGAAGAACTGAAACTGAAAATGCTGATGAATGATTTTAACCCCATGAATGATCTCAGTTGCAATATAAGATGAAATAAATTCCGTCAACCATTTAGTTTATCTTGTTATCTCATTGCTAGTCTTGCATATAGTTACCTGAAGTTTGGAATATTAAATCTACTTGAATTACATAGATACTATTTATCAATTTTGTGCAGTTTGCCTTGTTGTAGATTAATCAAGTTACATTGAGTGATATTGTGGTAATTATTTTGTTACCTAATCGAAGAAGTAACATCATTTTTCAAGAAAATATTTTCAGAAAACAAATGCTAGATATCAGTCAGGCGCAAAACTCATTCACTGGTGTGATGATCAAATCACAGAATGATCATTTCTCTTGTTCACAGTCCAATTGATCAAGAAATAATGGATTATGTGAGTGATTGGTTAATATCATACACTTGGTTCCGTGTATTATATTGACGAAAGCAAGAAAAAAGAATTGAATAGAATATCATGAATTCATTTTATCTCGTTAGGTTCTTAACACCTGCTTACAATCTATAACCTTTTAAGATCAAAACCGTCGTTTAGTTTATGTTAAATCCAATTCTTTGTTCTTAGCTCTCATCAAGAATTTTTAGTGGAGTTCAACCGGGTCTGTTGTGAGATAGTAGTCCATAAGATACAATAGTGGATGTGTCGCTCAACTTCGTGGATTAGTTGAAGTTATACATTAGTATCCATTAGATGCCAGCTCAAAGGTCTTGAGGTTAAGCACTCGCGAGATGGGATCGTGGATGCGCACTGCTGGGGAGTCCCATACTAGAACGAAACAACCCTTCAGTGTTTCCAGGTTTTCCATGGTAGTCTAGATTCAATTGACTCATGATCTCAACTATTGAAATTACTATAATATCCACAAAAAACCCCTTCTAATACTAATTCGTTAATAATCCATTCAATCAATCTCATGAAATAAATATCAACATATTTCAAGATGACGGTTCCAATTTATATCAACTTAATGAATTGACATAATTTTCATTCATTTATTCTGATATGAAAATCTGCAAGTTTATCATAACCTAATTAATAGGATAATATTTTACTGAGAATTTTATGCCCTTTTTAAAAAAAAAATATGATAAAATGGTTTTGACAGCCAGATTATAGTAAATGAAGTGTTGAATAAAAATTTTATTTACTTAGTAAACTAGATCATATCAGAGAGAATAGTTTAATTTAAATTAGAAACAAATTGAATTTGATACAATTTTGTTTATTCATTAAATGATTGTACTTTTATGAAATATTTTTGTTTAAACTCTTTGTTTTTTTTTGTAATTTTTTTAAAATTCTTTAATGTACAGGACCACATGGTTATTCACTCAGTGACAATATGCCCCCATGTATAGACTATATGGAAGGTGGTCCACCGTATTCAGCTTATACCAGAGCAGCTCAAGCTGCAGCCGCTGCAGTAGCTGGTAAGGATATATTCAACTTATTCACGATTAAATAATTAAAATCACAGATTGCTTAAAAAAGGAAATTGATGCGATTCTCATAACGTAAATGAGAGGACAAAAAGTGATGTAGATTTACATTAATTTCACTTTCCAAACCATATCGACCATTCTTTAACCAATAAACCGGTTAAAATATTGCTTTTAGTCACATTTAATGATAAATTAACAAATAGTATTTGGAAGGGAAATATAGAGTTATAACAAAACAGATTGCTGCATGAAGTTCACACTAAATTAATACATAGAATATAATTCTGAATAAATATCTCACTGAAAATGAAGTGAATGTTATACTGAGAAGTTATCACACTGAATTAAATACAGAAGTTATGTTGAACGTGATCTTTCATTCTGACCAATATAGTTAGAACATTAAACTGCTATTGGACATAAAGTTTAAGATCTACTAACCTATTAGAGTTATTTCTAATAGTTTATAATGAGACTGATGAAATTAATGACTATTTTTAGAATTTAACCCACAATTTGAAACTTTAAACGATACTGGATCTTCGTTGTGCTTTAGCATTACCTAAGTGAAAATAAAATGTAAAGTCAAAAAAGAATTCAGTTATTTATAAAGGTCTATGTTATAACTTGTGGGTTTGTGCTCTTTCTGAGCTTCTCAGAGCTCCCTTGAGTTCACCCGTGGACCGCCCTCACAGTCTACTTATAAACACGAATGTTTAAAACTGATCACTTATCCAGCAATTAAATTTTAGCCCCAAACGATACCAACTTGTGATGAAAATAACATGTAAACAGGTGTACCTTAAATAAAAACAGTATACTCATAACTGTTAGTGTGGTGTGTGCTACTGATGACGATAGATATAAGTAGTATGTGTGATTAATCGAAAGTGGGATGCCTGGCGGCAGAAGGTTGAGATCAAAGAGAAAGAACGAGAACAGAGAGCGATTGGCATGGAAATGAAGGAACAATAAAGCTAAGACAGTTGAAGGACATTTTGCAAATGAAGTATTTACTGTATGGTTCTTGATCATTACATTAGTACTAGGAATCATACTGTTAAATATGTATTGACTCATATCATTAATAGATTGATCTTATCTTCTTAATCATTTACATGATGAGATGTTTCGACTTCACCAAGCGACAAATCAACTAATTCTTTTATATCTCAAATTTTAATGAACCCCATGTATATGACCAAAGGAATGAAGAGATGCATAATGGCAATGAAAAGTGTATACAATTTATTAAATCTATGTTTACTCTGAAGAGAAATGAACACTTATCATATTCCCATGTGATTATTTCTAACTAATAGATACCCCAAAATAGAAGTCAGTACCTTGCTTTGTTGGATGAACAATTCTCTGTAATTATGTTACATAAAACATATGATTACATGCTTTAGATAAGTTGATTTATAAGATTTAGAAAATACAAAAATTTATATTTCGAAGGATTATACATTTTCTTTGTATTACATCAAGTAATTTACAGTTCTTAAATTAAAAATAAAGATTAAACGCATATTATTGTCATTCTTGTTATAATTACTATGATTATTATTTATAGGATTCTCAAATCATCCTACATCAAATGATGTTTATTTAGCCGCTGCTGCCGCAGCCGCTGCAGCTTCTGTTGGTTTTGGCAATAGTTCCATGTTAAACAACTCATCAAGTCAAGATAATTCGATTCGATTCCCTACTAATAATAGTCGTAGTGACCAATGCGTTGGTGATATTTCACCAAAGACTAATGGAATAGATTCACTTGTTATGCCAACAGATTATACGCTACCAGATCGTGTTAGTATTGTAAATAATCGTTTGCCCCATAATTCAGTATATTCAGATGACATAAATGAAATTCCTTCGAATTTATCTTCTTCATCATCCATGTGTAATATACTAACAAATAATCCATTTAATAGCTCTGGTGTAGATTATACAACAGTAAATAGTGCATACAATAATAGTAATACTACCCATCATCATCATCAGCAGCAGCAGCAAAATAATCCTCGTTATTCCACTGTTATGCCATGTTCTAACTCTTTTGACACATCAAATGGATATTCATTAAATCATCTTTCATATCATAATTATGGTTCCAATAGTTTTGATGCAATGTCCACATTATCGACAAATTATAATACTAATCTTATATCATCGCATTATAATACCACACCAACAACCACATATTCACCTAAAAATTATCGTATCAATGATACAGACAGTAACAGTTTTATAAACTCTGAAGATATTTTAACGACTACTAATAGTTCAGTTATTCATAATAGTAGTATGTCAGATGATACAATTTTAGGCATAAATACTGTTACTACACCATCACCATCAATGACAACATGTAAAAATAACGATATAGTTGAAAATGATGGGATTAACATTCAACTTGTTTAGGTACTATTGGTTCAACAAAATAATGATTCTTCAAAAATAAATAAATCTGGATCATTTGAAGAATATTTCAAATATTTTTTTTGTTGTTGAAAAACCTCTTTCATTTCTTCTTGATGAATGAATGTAAAGTTATTTTTTTCTTCTTTTCCTTGACTTCAACAACAACAACAGCAACAACAACAAAAAAAGACAAAACAAAATAAATGGGCAAAAATCCGAGGTTTATTTCCGGTGTTTGAATAAACAGAGTAGATTTGAGTAAAACATAAATAAACATATGGAAATGATATGTATTAGGGAAAAGTGAAAAAAAGGGGAATAATTCACTTACACGTATAACTATTACACACAAACACCTGAATGTACTTGAAACAAATTATATGGAAACTTATAATTTATTTGTTTACTGTTGATTTTTATTTATAAGAGATCTGAAAAAAAGTGTTTCTCTTCTCTTCTGTATTGTTTTTTTTGTATTCATATTAATTCATCATATAGTTTATTGTTCTTCATTAATACTAATCTGATAGGCATGCTTACCTTACTTAATTGTATTTACATTATTCATAATCGAAATTCTAAAAAAACCAAAACAAAACAAAATACCAGGACGATTCATTCTTTTTATTCTTATTTACACAATTTATTTTAACTTTCAATAAAATAAATAAATGAAAAAAGGATTCGAAAATAAACTGACTGAACTGTCAAAGAACTACTACTATATACTTATTTTTGGATAAGTTAAAAGATAGACAAAGACATTTAGACATTCAAACACATACAAAATTACGTTCAATACAGGGTATCATTTGTTCTGAATTATTTTACCTTCAAAACCAGCTTATATATACATATATGATGTTTTTGAGATGGAGAAGGGGACTTCTTCAATTCATGCCTTCTTCACTGTCTTTTTTCTTTTTCTATTTCTCAAATTTCATTTTTCTGAAACAGGTTTCTTTCTAAAACCTATCTGATATGTTAAACAGTAAAAATTCTAATAAAAGCAGTAATGATGTTCATAACAATAATATTATGATAAATTTTGACAAGGGTAAAACACATTAACCAATAAAAATTAATTGAATTATAATACAGTTTTCAATTTTAAAATCTTTCATTAAATTTTATTGTTGTATTATGCTACGAATTAATGATATAGAATAGTGGGATGTCTGGTTACGGAATTAGAACATATATGAATGTACTAGTTAACCATTTAAACAAAACATTATTGTATATCTTTTTAAGTTGATATCAATCACTTATCTTAGTTGATCAACCAGTGTAAGTTAAAAGTCATTGGACAGTTGTCCCGTCCGATTATGTAAACCACTGGACGTCAATCTCTTGATGTCGAGTGTTATACTAGGTCAAGGTAGGTATCCAGTGCTATGAGGTTAGGGTTGTCTAACTAGAATCAATCTATGGTGCTAACTGTAAAAGTTGACAATTCTTATAAACCTTCTCAAGTAATAATATATATTCTTTAACAGTTATTTTAATGTGTTGAGAAATATATTAGGTTACGATACATAACTTGAACACAGAAAATAAATGAACCCTTGAAGAAAATTTCCGTCACTTAATTTTACTATTTATTTATTTCATAACATTTGATGAAGATTTATTCACATAAATAGTGCAAAACGCTAATTGCATTTATTTTCTTCTCGTAAAGTCAAATTTTTTTTAATAGCTGAACATTTATTTCTATACTATTAAATAAGAAATTTTAATGAGTCAGCTATAAATAGTTGAAAATTTAAAGCTTTTATCTAAATGAGTTAGGTTCAGTGGTCTAGAGGTTAAGCGTTTGCGCGCGAGACTGATAGGTCCTGGGTTGGAACTCCGCGGAGGGGGATCGTGTATGCGCACTGCTGAGGAGTCCCACAATAGGACGAAACGACCATCCAGTACTTCTAGGTTTTCCATGGTTGTCTAGTTTCATTTGATTCATGAATTCAACTATTAAAATTACTAAAATCTCACAAAAACCCCTTTCTAATTTTATAATTCTATGTAAAAAAAAACATATTATATTATTTAATCATTTAAAATAAATCGGGATGACTACAATAGTTTCTGTTTACTGAGTAAATAAATCTGTTAATATTGAAAGATGTAAAGCTAATTATCAATCAATAACATTTGGATAAACTAACGCTTAGATTACTTTAAACACCAAGTCAAAGCAGTTGAATTATCAGTTTTCTAATACCCAGTTTATTATGTACCATTTTTGTGTCTACATGATGTATTATGTTCATTCATTTATATTTGAAGATAATATAAAACATGAATTTATTTATGTATTATTGGTATAAGTGAATGCGGATTTATTAACTACAAAGTCAACATTTTAAATATATATAAAAGGTGGGTATTAGTGGAATCCAAGACGTGCCTTTCATTTATCTGAAAATCGTCAGTTGGATATAACTATATTTCAAAGTCAATATTCACTCCAAGGCATCACTGGGAAGATTCAAACAATCAATATAATTGAATTAAACTTCGACTCATAGCACAAGTTAAGTGGATAACTCGATGGCGCTTGAAGTGAATGGTACTGGACATTAGTCTTGAAGTGAACGTCAACTCTGGGATACAGGCAAATCCAACTGACAAGTCCCAAATAGGACGAACAGCGCGTCCTGAGTTCCTCTGCTAGCCTCCATCTATCTCTCTTTGTAACGCGTATGACTTAATGGAAACATCGAAACATTCGTGTAGGATGTACATATGCTAATAAGAGTGTCTTGAACCTCAATGGGAGGATTCAAACAACCAATACAATTGAATATATATATATATATATATATATATATATATATATATATATATTACAATTAATGATATGAGTAATCAGAAATACATGAACATATGATAGTGCTTTTTCCATTTTTAAAGGTTATTTTTTGTATTTATTCTATCAGCGGTTTTCTATAAGCCGGTAGAACCATTGTGAATATAGACCGAGCGAAATCATTTATATCATCTTTTTCGTATTTCTATAGATTTAATAGAATAGGAAATTAAAGTAAATGTATCACGTAAATGAGAATAACAGTGAATGTTATGGTCCCCATAATTAACTGAATTTTACTGAATAGAAAATTTATCATTTATTTATTATTTATTCATCTGAACACATAAATAATGGTACAAGGAGGCACCAAACAGATATGCGCCACATAAACCATTCGGTTTGTGTGAAGGCTGTTATACCTAAGCGGGTGGTTCTCTTAGGGGGACACACCCGGACCCTTTGACCTAAAGGTCTAGTTAACAAGCAGTGGAGATGCAGTCTTATTGTAGCCGATGACCAACAATAGGTTAATACGCTATCAGTTTCCTTAGGATTCTGGAGCACATGTGCACCAGTAGTTCGAAATCTGAGTTTCCAAATTCTCGTAGGTGGATCCTCAGTATCCACCAACCCGGTTAAAGCACCGGACATTTCGTTTTCGTCCTCTAAATTTCGTAACCGACACCGCCGCCACGAGAAGGCAGAGAGTAGGACTTCTCTGAGAGTGGTGGTATACACCTGGCTATCTGAGAGCATTTCGAAAAGGAATGCTGACTCTTCCCACTCTCGTCCGTACCAGGGGATTTGGGGGCAATTCATCAACCTTATATAACTTAACAATGGAATATTTTGACTGATTTTATTTTTCATAGAATATCTTTCAGTTAAATTAGTAAAAATTAGTATCTGAAAAATACAGTGAAAAACCTAATTATCGATAACTGAGATACCACAAGTTATATAATTTCGAAGACAAATCTTACAGTATAAACTGTAAACATAAATTCAGTTTGTTTGGTTAATGAAATCTAACGTTTAAAAGCAATTAGCACCAAAATATTTATTTCACTTCCACATTAAAACACCTAAATTTTTTCTGCTCTATCATAATACACTATGGACTTCTAGATTTAATCAATTAATATCGACATTAAAATAATTCTTTACTGAAATCAATAGAAAAGTATGATAGAACTTTTAGGAATCATCGAATATCTTAATTATGTTTCATTTTATTTATCGGACTATTATTATTCTATATGAGTATGATTACAATAGAATTAGATAAATTACGATATACATGAAAAGTTATATAGTACTGATAAATCTTACATTGGATCAAAGATGATTCTATTTGAACTATTCTTACTGTAGAATCAACTTTGAAACCTAATAAATATTAAATTAAATGTGCTTTATTTAAATTTATCTCGAAACTTTATACTTGTATGATATATGACTGTTTATATTTACACGAAATTTAGATTTCGATAGTTTGTATTAAGCAATGTAATGTCAGTATTTCTATTTGTAAATTAGACAAGCTGACATTTTTCATTCTGTTAAACTGTGTATAAGTAATATTTGACATTTATTAAAATGAATTCTATTTTTAATCTTTATATATATATGTTTATAAATTATGCTGATGTTGAGATGCACTAGCGGATACCACGAATATACTAAAGATAAGTATTGTTTTCTTTCTTTAAAAAAAGTTTTAGTCTCTATCCTCGTGAAAAATAAAATCACTAAGCAAGTGACAGGGAAAGAGAGAGAGAGAGAGAACAGGAAAAACCACAGTGATAGAAAAACTGGATAAGAGAGTTTAGATAAAACATACATACACATACTAATTCGTATGACAAAAATGGTAGACCAAGATGCAACTATAAATTCATGAATTGTTTATTCAGTAGTGTCTTGAACTTGACAGTCGTAAAACATTTTGTTTTGAAAGTTATATATATATATATATATATATATATATATATATATATATATATATATATATATATATATATATATATATATATATATAGGTAACTGAATATATGACTTGGTTGAACACTAACTAAGTGGCTATTTTATCCATCTTAATGCAAACACTTAAGACCTTAGTAATAGGTATAAATATATAGACAAAGAAAGCAACACTGTGATAGTTTTGGCGTCAGTTTATCAT